CCTGGGAGAGGGGCGGGCGGGGCCGTTTCTGCCTCGGGGTAGAGCGCTGTCGGCGAGGGCTCCCCACAGCCAGGCTGGAACTCTGCTAGCACACGAGTCCGGGGGACGTTCTCCACAAAACCCTGCTCCCTTCCCCCCGGGCGGCAGCCGGCTGGGATTCCCTGGCCAGAGAGGAGCCAGCCCTTGCAAAGGCAGGGCCCCCAGGGCCGGATGGACTGCCTTTGGCTGGGCTGAGGTGAACACCTCACCCAGGGCGGGGGTTGGCCTACGCAGTGCTCCCCTCAGGGTCGTGCTGTCCGATCCAGCTGGAGCGCAGGGCCACTGGCTTTTCTGGGTCCTGGGGGTCCCCCAAAAGAGACTCCCGTTAGCTCCATGGAATGAATCCACCTCTCCTAGGCTCTATCGGTTTTCACTCTCCCGGCCACCACAGTAGCTACATTAGGGCTGTAAAATCCTGTGTAATTGGCTCACCGGTTACACTTCTAGTGTCATGTTTAACTGGGTAACCAATTAAGGGGGGCCAGTCCAGCCCAGCTGGGCAGGAGCAGCCCCTGTCTGGAGCAGGTGGGGGGCAGTTCCAGCCCCCATTGATTAACGGGGACCGGTAAGCCTTTCCCCTCCCTAATCTCAATACGACCTGGCAGCACCCTGAGCATCTGACGCGTGGCTTGCTCTCCCGTGGGGGAGGACTGTGAGCAGGGTGAATTGGTGTGTTTGTAGGGCTGCCAGATGGTTTAACCAAAAATATCGACCCTCCCCCCGAAAAAAACCCCATCAGGGAAAAAATTCTGTTGAGAAAAAAAAAGGGGGAGACCAAAGTTATTAAGCAAAAAAAAAAAAAAAAAAAGTGTGTCCCCTTTAAGAAATGCTTTTGGGGTTTTTTCGTCTCCTGGCTGGGACAAAATCAGAAAATATTGGACATTTTAGGTGTCCGGTATTTTCCAAATGTTTTTACCAGACAGGAGGCGAAATACCGGACTGTCTGTCACGTTACTGAATTTGAGGGAAGCAGCCATAAGTGGGGGTGTTAGCCCCAAAAATGGTTTAAAAGGGGCCATGTGGGGTGTTGAATAGAAGCTCACTGTCTGCTGATCCTGTGTACACTAGTCATGTGATTGTAGAATGTCTGTGTGTGGAGTTAGGAGTCTGTAATCTGTGTGGAGACTGAATATTTCCCTGCATGTGGTTGAATATTGGGCAGAGCCCGGCCTATGGACATGCTAATCAGCAAGGCCCTGTGGGACAATGGTACTCAATGGGCCAAGGACACACCTAAAGAATGAGTGGTGACTCATACCTAAGGCCTACCAGCAGGCAACACAGGAATAAGGTGGACCAGGTGACCTGCTATAGCCAAGAAGAGACCA